ATTTTTACAACATTATTTTAGCTAGCTAATATATCTGGAACTAGCTAGCTTGCTTCTTTGCAGATTAGGTCATTTGCTAATGAAGCTAAATAGTAGTTTGCTAGCTGGCTATCTAAAACTAGACAGATAAGGAATTAGCTAACTCTATTTTTTTCCTAGCAACTAATAACCTCCAAGCACGTCCATGACTAATCATTAAATTAAGCTATTATTGGTTAATTCGTCCTCTGTTTTGTAAAGATGATAATTTAGCTAACTGGCTATCAAACTGACTAAATTTACCAAACAATTACGAGCTGAATGACTTAAATAAACCTATATTTTGACTGTGTTGGTCAGCTAACAGTATTATTACTCTTTCACTTTACTTTTAACTTACTAAAATGTTTAATTACCTTCTAACTAAATCGCTTAACATTTCTAATGGCTTGTTTAATGTTACATATGGATTTGAATACTGTTCAAAAAATGTATATAATTGCCTTCTAAAGAAGGACAAGGTGCATAAATGACCTCCCATAGGTTTCTGCAGCCCTGCTAGAAAAACCAGCGTAGACCAGCATTACTGGTCACCAGCATATGTTGCATTTTGGATGCTGGTGTGCTGGTCAGCAGCAATACAAGTTAATATGCTGATAACCACCAAAACCACCATAAATTGTGTTTTGAATGCTGTTGTTCTCGTCAACCAGCATGACCATGTTGGGTGACCAGCAAAACCAGCACTAGGCCAGCATAAACTAGCTTAGACTAGCTTAGACCAGCATGAAATACATGCTGGCCTGTGCTGTTCAGCAGACAGGGCAAAGAATAAGACTGTAAAGTTGATTTTAGAACTCTAATACACTGTTGATGCAGCAACATAATACTCTCCCACAGTTCTCCCACAGCTCCTTCTAGACCCAATACAAAAAGGAATGCGTGTGGTCTTATAAATCATAATGGGCATACTTCTTCATCTGCCCATGATGGACTGATGACAGATTCAATGCTACAGTGACTCACTATCACCTCTTGAGGTACAAGGTGGTATTACAAGACAGGATGGGCTGGTTAGCATGCTAACTTCAGCAGATATCTCTGCAACATGGTACATAGACATCTTTGGCATGGCATCAAAACTGTTATTTCCTTACACTCTGTTGATAATTTTAGTTAATTTTGAAAGGTTTTAAACTAAAAAGACCTAAATACAGGGTGGCATTACATAATGTACAGAATATTCAGGAGAACCCTGAGAGAAGTCATTATAAACTCATTCATTAAAGGACATCACATCATTGCACTTGTTTTGACCATTTTGAACATCAAACTGGATGCAGTTCTATACATTCTAAAAACATAAAGATGCTACTAATAGGGGGTTCTTTGGAGCGTTGTCTAGGAAGAACCACCTTTGTCTCCCTAAAGACCCTTACAATATATGATTCTATATTTTTTAAGAGATGTGTTGTTGTGAAAACATTTAAAGTTTAGAAGAAGAACCTTCACACATATTTTTCTATACTTTTCTATAATTTGTAATGCATTTCTCCAAAAATGATGGAGGAAAATGTTTTTGCTAGACTATTCTTTTAAAATGCATACATTTAAATTGTTTACAATTAAAAATAGTAATAATAAGACCTTTTAAATTTAAAACAGTAATAATAAGAACTTTATTTATAGGGCACTTCACATACTAGTAGCAAAAAAGTTCTTTATAGACAGGTGATAAAGTCATAGAAGAAATTAAAGTTGAGTTTTCTTTTATTATTGTTACTGTGCAATAACGATAACATAGAGCAAAAAAAAAATAAAGAGAATAATATAAATCATATAAAGCAATAATTTAGATGAATGTAAAGGATAAATACAAAAAAGATAGGTATAAATTAAATTACAAGTTAAATTAAAGATGTATGTCTTTCCAAGTTTTTGTATTTCATGGAAGGTATTCGCAGTGTGACCTGACCTAAGATCAAGTGCTGGAACATAAACAGATATTCAGTGAGGTATGCAGGTGCATGGCGTGGAGCATTAAAGCAGTCAACTCTGCTTGTAGCAAATGCATGAACAAGTTTCTCTGCGTCGCTCTGAGACAGAAAAGGCCGAACGATATTTCTCAAATGATAAAAAGCTACTTTAGTGACTGCGTTTACATGCAGATAAAACAGAGCTCAGAGGCTAAGATCACACTCAGGTTTCATACTTCAGGTTTGATATATGAAGCTAAAGAACCAAGTTTCTCATAAATCACTTTTCTCTGAGTTTCTAATATGCAGGATAAAACAGAACTCAGAATCTAATCTTGTAGAAAATTCCATCCAGTGAAAAATACCCAACAAGCCTTGAGTCCTGCTTTACAGAAGAAATGGAAATGTAGAATTGTGTGTCACCAACATAGCTATGAAAATTGATATCATTTTTTCTGATGGCATTACCTAGAGTTAACATACAAAGAGAAAAGCAAAGGACCTAAAACTGAACCTTGAGGGACTCCAAGAACTGTCTATCTAATAAATATGATTTAAACCATTCTAATATCATGCCTGAGAGGCCTTCCCACATTTCAAGTGAAAATGGCAGCACAATTTGAGTGAGTACAATAAGAACACTTACAATTTTTATTTATTTTCTGACACACATGCAGAATGACCTCATTCAATGCCAGGCTGGTGGCCAAGATTGAAATCTCGTCCCGGGAACGGCCGCCCTGCTTACTGCCCAGGCAGTTAAATGGACTCTGGGATAAATGACTAAGAGAGGTTGTGAGAGCAGAAAACAGGTCTCTGCGTACTCATGTCCAGAAGTTTCTCTTACAATTTTGTCTTTGGATCAGCAAGTTTTAGATTAGCCCAAAAGGCTAATCTACTTTGTCATGGCTGAAGAATGGCTCTGAAACAGAGAGACTGCTGTTACAGCACTGAGCTCACAGGGCTATGAAGTCATACTGTATTGTATAAGATGCTTTTGGCGATGTGCCTCATAACACCCCAGAGACACACGCTTACCCAGCACTAAAGCACACCCTGTTGTGTGTTATTACTTACATAATAGAGCAACCTAAGCTGATGAAAGGACTGACTGCTAATGAGAAATAATTCTTAGCTCCCTTCTCTCCTTCATCAAGAATGAATCCATCTGAAGAGGCCGATAAGTGCTGATAAAACGGATGCCAGAAACGTCTCTGCTGATTCATAGAAAAGCAGTGTTTCTATAAAGGCGTGTGGCAGATGGATGGTGGCAAACAAGTCAAACCTCTCTATCAATTATTAGTAATCTGCCGTGTGTTTTGACGTGTTTGAGACCATGGTAACTGTATTTAGGCCTCACGGCCTGTAAGTGCTTTAATTACATCACTTCAGCGTAGTTCACAGTGTGATATAAAGGAATGTATAATGCTGTGTGTTGTGTGTAAATACAATAAAAAATGGCACATATTCTTCCTTATAGCTATTTACATACAAGTAATACACATGGGACATATATACAATACTGTACAAAAGAGAGTTATTCATTTTTCAGCATCAGGAAGGAAAAAAAAACATTTAACAGTAAATCACATAAATATCATTTTTTAATATTTAGTTTGGCTACTCTTTATTAAAGCTACCCTTTTTTTTTCAGGAGACTTGCTTTAAATTCTTTAAGACATCTGCAGGGATATTTTTCCACACCTCCAAAGTTCAGTCTTAGAAGTTGGTTGCATTTTCTGCTCCAAATAATCCCAAATACATTCAGTAATGTTGAGGTTTGGACTCTGGGGTGGTCAATCTGTTGTTCTTCCTCCACCTAAGAACCAGCACCGGCACCAGCTGCATCTTTGATTGACCCTGCTCCTTTAAGCAGTTTGCCTGGTGTCATTATGTTGCTGTAGAATTCATTTCTGCCCAATCAGACATTTTCCAGCAGGATATTGCATAATAAAATTGGGCTGTGCTTATCAGCATTCATGATGCCTTCAATCAAACACAAATCACCAACTCCAGATGTTGTACATCTCCAAACTCGCACTGAGCCTCCACCATGCTTGACCGCTGGTTGGAAACCTGGTTTATAGTCTTTCATTGCTTCACTTACTTAACTCAGAGAAAAGTGATTTATGAGAAACTTGGTTCTTTAGCTTCATATACCAAACCTGAAATACGAAACCTGAGTGTGATCTTAGCCTCTGAGCTCTGTTTTATCTGCATGTAAACGCAGTCACTAAAGTAGCTTTTTATCATTTGAGAAATATCGTTCGGCCTTTTCTGTCTCAGAGCGACGCAGAGAAACTTGTTCATGCATTTGCTACAAGCAGAGTTGATCACTGTAATGATCTTCTTACTGGACTTCCTAAGAAAACTATACATCCCTTACAAAAATGTGGCAGCATCCTAACAAAACAACACAGAGAGATCGCATGACTCCCATTTTAAAAGAACTGCACTGGCTGCCTGTATCATTCAGGATAGATTTTAAAGTTCTGCTACTAGTTTTTAAGGCTCTAAATGACCTTAAAGCACCACTTACATCACAGAGTGTCTGTCTGTTTATGTTCCAGCACATGATCTTAGATCTTATCTGCAGTTAGTGGCCTTCTACAAATACCCTCTGTAAAATACAGAGAACATGGAGAGACTCGTTCAGTTATTCTGCTTCTGAACTGTGGAACTCAGTTCACCTTTTATTAGAGAGTGAAGTTCAGTGCTCACTTTTAAAAGGCAGTTAAAAACAGATCTCTTTAACTCAGCATTTAATGAAAACTCTACGTCTCGTAGTATTTATCTTCTGATTTGATCTGTTTCCTTTTTTTTATATGATTCTAATTTAATATGCATAATTTCTTGTATTACCGTTTAACTTCATCACCTGTCTGTAAAGCAATTTGAGCTGCCACCGGCATGAAAAGTGCTATATAAATAAAATTTATTATTATTATATTATTATTACTACTTAATAGCTGTTTTGAGATACATGAAAGGTGGTCTAGACAAATGTAGAGACAAACGTGTGTATGCTAAAAAAGAATGTACAACTCAATTATCTAAAGGAATTTATTCACATACTGAACCATTCTTTTGAAAAACGTTAATTTACAAAAAGAGATTTACATGAACATTTATAAAATAACACGTGGACATGAATACATAAGCGCCACACGCAAAACATTTCACTGGTCTGAATAAATTAATTATTATTGGCACATCAGTGGAGAAAGAGGAATCCTTGTCTGTGTTGCATAAGGTTCTAATTCAGTATAAAGAACCACTGAGAGGCACACAGAAACAGAATGCAGTAGCTCTGAGTGTGACTTACACAACTGGAAAGAGAAAGTAACCGAGAACCCACAGCAAACAGGGCCAGCCCTTCTTAAACATTCACTTATACGGAGCTAAATGCTGTGCAAAGACGAGTGCAAAGAGATGATGGATGAAAACAATAATAAAGCAGTCAGCGCAAGAAGCAGATGAAGGATGATCCGGCCCTGCCCTGATCCCAAAGTGCTTGTGATGATGTGGACTTTTTCTTAAAGGTGCAGGAATTTCTAGGTCATACCAAAATTGGCCAGAACCTTTACAGGACCAACTTTAGTCACTTTATCCGCTAGTCCTAAAAGCAGTTGCCCCAGCTCACATATTGTTGTTGTCCAGAAAAAAACAGGTCTCCAAAATGTGAACCAAAATCCGTCTTTACTTTCAATGTAAGTTAATATAAAGAGACTTTTTCAATTTTGGAGCTTCTATGTTCAAATAATGTAGAAAAAATGGAGATATTTGTTTTTCTTTGGGCAGCTACAATATGTGACTGGACTGGTAAAGAAAAAAAAGGAACTAAAGAGAGAAATAAGCTGAATAAATATCAGATTGCCCTCTGTGCCGTGCAGGGAGTTCTTATACACCCCGCACCTTTCAAGTGACATATGCACAAAAAAATAAGAATCAAACTTAGATGCTCTGATGAAATAAATAAAATCAAACATGCAACATGTATAAAACATTGTTCTAATCTTTCGGTTTATGGCGCCAACTGCAACAGTACAAGAATAGAAATAATAACAAAACAATCGCCCACAAGCCACGTCTTTGGTGTGCTAAATTTCAGCAGGTTGAAAATTCAACGTTAGCAAAGCGATACTGTGAATCACGCCGCACAGCTAATGACGAGTCCTTCATGAGTACACGCCCTTCACTCAAGGTTAAGACATGTCAGCACTGTGGAACGTGGTGAACAGCTGTATGCCAGCATGTGCAGCATTCTGACGGGTTCTGAAAGCTGGAGCGATCTCCAGCCAACACAACCTCACTGAAATGTATCTTCATTCAAAACAAAAATGTATTGTACATTTAATGCTGCCTGAACATGACAATCAGTTACATATGGATACAAAACGGACTGAGTCTGAAAAGCAGACTGACAGATCCCTTAAAGGAAGATCCAGTGTTTTTCAGAGTAACCTCTATCTGCTGTGTCTGTATCATACCATGGCAATAAATTTGAGGTATTTCCCTGCATAGAAAACCCACAGTTAAGTCGATTTTACACCAGAAGTGGTACCACGCCCCCCTCAAAGCGCTCCGATGCTAATCACTGTAGCCACAAAAATATGCCTTGTTTCTGTTTTTGATGGTGTGCTAGCAGTTTCTAGCTAGAAACAGTGCAGAATTCACTATTCTTGCCTTATTGTGCAATCTAGGCCTATAATCTAGCTATATTTTCAGTCGTAGCAGCAACACTGCACTAGTACATACTTCTATAAGCTTACAGAGTAATTATCAGTCCAACAGACTAGATGATGGAAAAAACTGACAAATCAAAACCCCTTTCAAACAAGTAATAGCCAATAGCTAAGCTCAGAAATCCCCTACATACATTTATTTTATTTGTAAATGGGATAAAGGCATCTGCATGATACATTAACTTATTCAGCACTAGATAAAATTTGGATGTTCTTCGCTTCATCAACACACAAGTCACTTCTAATGTAAAATCAGTTTTAGCCACAGTTTCTATGCTTGTTTTGGTCTCCCATCCACATGAAAATGGCTTTTTGAAAATGCTCTTCAGGGTGGGCATTTCTGAAAACTCTGTTTTCATCAGGTTTCAGTGTTCTGTGTGGATGGGAAATCACAGCTGATGGCTGATGAATGAATCTTTTCTTTTTCTTTGTCAATTTAGGGATTGATAACGTTTATAAGAGAATTTAGCTTGACTTTTTTATTAAACTGTAGTGCAGAGGTGTCAGAATCTATTGCACACAGTTCTTTTGAATAGTGTGACAACTTGATTGCAACTATTACTAATAATAATACCTGAGTGAATCATGGTGATCATGTAGAGTGAAAATCTAGAAAAACTCATCCTCTCTGCCTGATCAGGACTGTGTGGTGTTTCAGAGACCAAGGCAACATAAACAACCCCATGACAGCAAGCAGCAGGCTTTCTATTGCTTTTTTCAAGCTTTTATTTTCTGGCAGGAACCAGACTTTGAATCTAAGAAAAGTACTGAGTCATGGCAGCTAATGGATTGCAAATAAAAGGCTATATTTTGCAAAGTGCGCACACTTGCAGTGTTCTGCTTCAGCTGTATGACATCAGTTTTGTTCAGGTTTTATCACCCCTACTGGGCTGACATGCTCATGTAAATGTTTTTGAGTTGTTTCCGCATGCTCATGTGGATGGAGAGGTTTTCAAAACACTGTTGGAATGGGTATTTATTTTAAAGAATCTTTGAAACGTATATTTTTAAATATCAGGATACGTGTGGATGAGGCCATAGAAACCACTGCAGAATTCTGCGAATGAACATTTAAAAATAAATGGATATAATGAATTTGAAAGTATGACCAACACCAACGTTCTTGTAGGTCTTAGAATTCTGGTATCCATACTGATCCACGCTGCTAAAGTTTTCCTTTAGAAACCTAGTCTCATCTCTAAAATTAATAATAATAATTCATAATAATTAATTTACGAACACCTGGCTGAGCAATTCATGAAAATGTTCTACAAAAATGTGTTTTACATAAACGTACTGACTGCAATTGCCCACTGGATTGTATTATAGATGAGTTTTCTGGGTTTTTTTTAAGTAGAGGGAAACACATTATGCAGCAAATAGAGATTAGGTTGAAAAATGCTAGAGTTTTCCTTTAAACATTGGCTCTGTTTAGCATGAGCCATAAATCTTTATAGACCTGTTTTGATCAAGAAAATTGTGGACAATGACTTAGAGACTCATGAATTAGTCCCATATTTGTATTAATATATACTATTTTACCTCTTTTTACACCTCTTTCACACTTCCTACACTCCTGTCTTACTTTTGGAACTAGCCTCCTCTACTCTCCTCCTCTTTTCTCCTCTTCTCATGTCGATCTTGGCTCATCTCCTGGTATAAAGTAGGGATTTTCATGGCCCTGAATCAAGTAAGAATAGCGTGAGGGGTTTTTGCCCGTAAACGTGTTCAGGTTGTCTATGGGCATGAGGTCGTAGGAGCCCGTCTGAAAGAGAAACAATAGACATGCAATAGTCAACAAATGTCAAAACCTCTTTTATGTTCATTTTGTTCTTCATTTCAAACTTATTTACATAAAAGTGCCAAAAAGGGAACAATACCAGAAATAAACCAGTTTTAATTCCCTAAGGAACATTTGAATTGGTGGTTCTTCAAACGAACACTCTAGAATTTTTCAACCTAATCTAAATCTGCCATTTCATTAATGTATGGTTGATTCCCACAGGTAATACTTTAGACATACGTACCTTTACTAAGCAAAATAACAGAGAACTCATTAACTTGAAGTGCATACAACAGAAGCCAATAGGCAGATACTGAACTTGTTATTGGGTTTTCTGTTATTTTACCAAGTACAGGGAAAAAAGGTTGAAATCATTGTCCATGGTAAGCGAACATGCACCTCAGATGCACAGATAGAAAAATTAGGTTGAGGAGTGTTCCTTCAAAGAACCATTTATTGAGGGTTCTTTAATGGCATTGTCCAAAAGACCTTTTTTGCATATTTATTTTACTGCAGTACAAACAAAAGTATGTCCCATGCCCATGTAAATTCCCATTTATATCCATGCATAAGAATTACTCAGTTTCCATCCAATCACCCAGTGGATATCAGACCAGCTGGTTTTATCAAGGACAATTATGAAAATCATGCAAAGCAGGTCATAAAGCCACAATTGTTGATCATTTCTTCAGCATCAAATAAAAGTGTTGATCAAGATAGCAGTGGACCGATGACTTCATCGTGGTATATTGTGGGGAACCCAAAGGGCCTTTCCAGGGACTTAAAGTTATATTTGGTATAGTATAGTGAGTAACACCTTTGCCTTTATTGTAGAAGTTCAATTGTAGAGCTTCAATCCCCCATTTAGCCCAGTACCCTACACTATACCAATAAGAGTCCTTGCGCAAGACTCCTAACACTACCTGTGTAAAATGATCAAACTGTGTGTCACTCTGGATAAGGGCATTTGCCATAAATGTAATGCAAATGTATTTAAACTTTGCAAGTCCTGTGATAATAGTCTCATTTAATTATTAACTTTGGTTGGAAACAAAAGGGTTAAAATCTTAAAATTCCCAATGGAAAATTGTCCCATCAGATTTTTTTCTCTGTGATATCCAGGTAGATACAGCTACGCTACCTCTCCAATTGGTTAGGACTTCAGGAGCTGGACTGACGGAAAGATTAACCATCAACATAATGACAAAGTGAGAGTGGAATCAACCGATCATGGTTTGATTTTCAAAGTAAGGGGCCAAGTTTGTGAGAAAAATATCACTCTAGGCATAAATAATATGTCACTGACTGAACAGGGGTTGTGGCCTAAACAGTTTTCAATCAGATGTTAATAAAGGAAAATAGCAGCGGCAAGTCTACGTCCGGGGTTCTTTCCTAAAAGAGTCACTGTAAAACTGCTACATACAAGGTAAAATACATGTTAATGTCTATTAGATGTTTCAAATAAAATGCATGGAATGTCTTTCACAAGCTTTAAATGTCCATATTTATACTAGAATGGCCAAAAATGTTCACATGCAGTACTGTTAGTTTGGCGCTAACACGCTAATACAAGTCCCACAGGAGTGCAAGCATTAATAACCCAAACTGAAGGCCTAGCTCTAGAAGTCACGGTTCACCACTGGTAAGAGAGAAACATGCAATAAATGAATAGGATTAATAAGTGAGAACACAAACCACCAGCAGCCACACACAAGCATACACAGCACTACTGATTGGGTCGGTGAGGGGACACGCCATGCAGTGTCTTACCTTTCTTCCTATCTTCTAAAGCATCATAATGGAGGGAATGAGGAACATGCAAGGCAAAGCAAGGGGAGCATCACATCATCACATGCACATCATCGACATACACACATACAGACATAGACACACACACACACAAAGAGGTATATACAAAAAAACGGGAAAAGGTGTGATATGATTCTATGCGGTGACATAGCTGTACGAGGTTTGGAAGCAGTGGCAAGCATGGCAACTTTGGAATGAATGTTGAAAACATTTCAGATAGCTTCAAACATTCAAATATTGCCTCTATCACCTATTAGCACACAGGCAAATAACAAAATTGTGCTGTTATAGATCTTTTTATAATGTGCATTGGTTGTGTGATCTTCCTCCAGTGCAGTAGGTGGCAGTGATGTTGTCATTTTTAGCGTGCAAGCAAGCATGTTGGTTGTACTCTCATTCACAGTGGGTTAACAGTAATATTACAAGACATATCAAGTATTTCTGGCTCATTTTCACTACCACACAACCAGGACTTTGCCCGCCGTGAACCAAGCAGACAAGATATAACTGTATAGGGTGTGACTGGCAGGATCTATGAGCCAGAGATGATTTGACTAAATTTCCAAAACTGTACCTTTATCCCAAATGTAGTAGATCAGCCAAGAGATGTTTAGTTTCTGAAGTTTGCTTCTTCAGTTTTAATTGGAGATATTAGGGCTTATTCAGCTTTTATTTTCTGGCAGGAATGGTACTTTGAGTCTTGTAGCCATCAGTTACAATCATGCATCATCATAAATGTGCATCAAACTGTACTAGGGTGTTAAGTAATTTTAAATAGACTTGGTTTCTAACACTGTATGACACACTGTTATCTATAAAGACAGAAAATGTACAGACAAAATTCAAGCTTCAAGCTGGCTGCGGCTGTTTTTAGCAATGTGCTGTACTTTTGTTCATTTTTGCAAAACGAAAAGATGCAAAACACCAAACATGTCTTGGCTGATTGAGTACGTTTGGAGTAAGAGGAAAGTTGTAAAAATGCTGGAAAACGAAGATCAAGCAGCGTTTGACCTCAGAAAACTCACCAGTCCATTGGAGTGATTTTTTCTTGGCTCGGTCATCTCCAGCATGTTGCCTGAGTTAGCGCTGGAGCTGACCGTGGCACGAGGGATGGGCGTGATGCCCTGGGCAGGCCAATCGCGGAACTCTTCGGTGGAGTAAGGACTGCTGCCATATTCTGTGTGCTTAGAATTTTTCCTGCTGACACACAATGAAACAATAGTATCACAGTTGGCCTTTTGCTCTGTTTCTATTTGAGATGGACTGAGATAATCCGGTTTTGTAACTCAATACTAAGATTAGGGACACATAAACTAGGGCTGCCTGATAGGACAGAACACCATATTGCCATGATATTCCTATATATTGTACTCGCAATAGAAGAATTCCACTGATTTTTCAGAATGTCTGCATATTTGAATTGTGACAGTGTCAACAAAGTCATTGAGAGTGGTGTGCACGCAGGGAGCTGTAAGGCAAAATAGCCCCCAAAGAAAATGACTAGTATTATTTCACTATTCTACCCTTAACAACATTACATATAAAACTCAGAGGACACATGTAGGCTCACTGGTCATTTTGGATGGTAAATAAAATATCTGTGTTGTAGATATTGCTATGTTTGTGTTGTTGACATCGTGACCCCTGTGTCTTACCATCACCAAGGTAAATAGTCAGTAAATTTCGGTACAATGCACCAATTCACATCAAACCACTCCGAATGGCTTTGTTCTCAGTGATTAAATTATGCAATCAGTGGATTTCCCATTTATACATTTTACACAAATTGATTTACGTTTGTTGTAAAAGGGGAACATCCACACACCCAAAGAACATCTGTGAGTGGTCAAGAAGTTCACAGCACACAGTATAACATTCAGTGTTTGGTTAGAGGTCCATTTTCATACTGCAGCCTTCTACGGTATCAGTATTGCGGAGGCTGCTATCGCAATAGTGATACGAAAGCAAACAATCTCCCTCTCTCTTTCTCACATATACTCACCTGCTCATGATACAGTAGATGATCATGGCCACTATTAGGATGAGCAGAAGCCCACCTAAAACACAGGCTACCACCACCAGTGCCAACAAAGATGCTATCATAGAGAAACAAAGTGTCAGAGTATGTAGACACACACATACAGTAAGTGTTCACTGTAGGTGCATTTTTAAAATTAAGTTTATATCCTTGTTTAAAAAGCAATAATGCATAAATGTAAAATTGTCAGCAGTCAAGTGGAATATTATAATTTAAGTCTATTTAAATCCTGAATTAATTCTTACACATTGAGGCTTATTAATCAGTTAGTAATTGTTAAGAGTAGTTATTCATTAATGGGGCATTTAAAGGGTTTAATGGCAATAACTTACAGTCATTACAGTTGAAACCAGAATAACCGAATGGACACCTGCAGAATAAAAATCAGAAATATGATTATTATCACTGATCACCAAGTGGTTATTACTATACGGATTTAAAAGTCTTATCCATAAAGGCTGCTGCATGTTTTCATTCTAAACATACAGGAGCACTCCTGATTCTGCTTGCCTCATCAATTGGTCTTCACAGAACTGATCAGGTGCGCTCCTGTTTTGCTGGAATGAAAACCTGCAGCCACACCAGCCCTTTGCGGATAAGAGTGAACACCCCTGGCTTAGGCTGTGAGATATCTTTACATCTCTACGCCACTAGGGGGCAGTAGTTATAACCAAGCAAAGAGCCAGTTCAAAAAATGAAATTGTCTGTTCTTAACTGAGCTTTTTAGACTAAAGGATGCATTTGAGCATAAAGCATGAATTCTCTCCCTCTCTCTGGTGACTGAATGTTACTTACGGCTCACACCGGTTGTCCACTGATCTCTCTCCACTGGCGCATGCTGCGAATGAAAAAGACACATCACAGTTAGAGTGCTGCATCATTTGTGTTCGCCCTGCTGCTGTGCTCTCTGTGCTGAATGGCCTTACTTCACCCATGACCACAGAAACAGCACACAAGACAACAACAGGCACACAACGCCAGGGTCAAAGATCACACAGAAGATTAAACTGTGTTTTTCTCCTTTGCACACAAACAACTTTACCCAAGTCAGGACACTTCACTTTCTTATCAGTGGCCATCATTCAAAAGACAAGGATGATGCAACGTGAAAGTCTTTTGTTGTACTATTAGTGGTTGTGCTATTTTATATACAACCATAGTTTGTACAAAGTTGACTGAAATATAAAAAGGTATGCGTTGTTTTCAATATTCCAAATATTTTGTCAACAAGACATAAAATGATAAATTATATACTGTATCGATCTACTATTTACAATATTTCTGTGCAGTTGTTCTGCCTTGAGGTTTGATCACCAGTTTTGAAATCTGAGGTATTCTGCATATTACTGTTGTTATAACCTCATTCTTTAAAATATACAGGCTTTCTCAGTCATTTTAGAATCATCTACAGCTCTCTTCATCACTCATATTAGAATCATATTAGAAACATTTTAGAAATCTTATACATGCCTTACATTGCTGTTACACACTCATAGAGAAAAACACACACACCTATGCAGCTCCTCGTTGTAAATTCGGTTGATATGAAGCCTGGCATGCAGGTGCAGGTGGAAACGCCAGTTTTACTGTCTGTACATGTTGTTGTTTTGACATCACATGGAGGCGGGTTCTGTTCACACAGACTCGTCTCTGTAGAGAGAGATAATAAAAGTAAGTTAATTCATTGGCTTCTTCATGATCCTTAAATCTGTAACCAAGCGTAAAGTTTGAGAAAAAACTAACTGAGAAAAAAGAACCAGTAATGCTACATTAAAAAAAATCGAAAACTGTGAACACAATGATTTTTATTCAATATTTGGCAAACTGTGCTGCACTAAATCCAGTTAAACTGGATTAATTTTGCTCTTTTCATAATGAAACATACTGTTGATCAGCTTTCTACAGGTCCTGACAATATTCATGACATATTCAGTAATTTGGGTCACCAGAGTGAACTTCCTGTACTTGTAGTTTACATGCTGTAGTTTTATTAGTTAGTGGTTTTGTTTTTTTTTTTAGACTGAATTTCTGTCATGTTTTCAGCGTCATTTATATACATACATACATACATTTATAGTCATTTTAGGTATGTCAATATGTTTATATAGCCATTTCTAAAGCTCTCCTCTGGCAGCCCAGTATTATTTGTAGTTATTTGTTTTGGCTAATCAGTGCCTCATTGTGCTAAATCAAGTCTGCTGGTGATAGAATTTAACAAATCCACACAATCATTGGGTTCTTCAAGGATAAATCTGGAACCAAATTTTGTTCTTCAAACTAGATCACAAGATAACAATTACTTATTACTTACCTATGCTACCTCAAACACTCAATACTGGCATCTTGTAATGTGAGCAAATCTGTGATGTGAGGATTTTGCAAGCCCACTGTGCTACAGTGAATCTCACCATTGAAAGTAGCTGTGGCCAGGATTCCCTCACCGCTGCTTATGGCCCTCATTATAGCTTGGACGGTGGTATCCCGCGTAGCAGGGGAGTTGGGCTCGAACACACTGTCCACTGCAGCCACCACACTGCCTGGACTGAAAACATACAGAGCACAGATGGCTGGTTAGCACCCTGGAGCGCAGCTAAAGAGTTTTAAGGGGTTGGCAGAAGTAGTGAGGCCACTTACGTTAGCTGCAGAACTGTGGAGTTTATGTAGCCAGATATATCTTTTAAAGCACTGTTCAACTATAAAAGAAAGAGACAGTAAGGAGAGAGGGAATGGATGGCAATGAACATTGGTTTGGACAAACAGGACAATGCAGTAACACTTTACAGTAAGCCTACCCTTATAAAGGCTTAATGAATAGTTTAAAATTGGCTTATTAATGCCTATTAATTATTACAAATCATTTATAAAGCTGACATAGATGAATGTGGGCTATTTGGCTAGCAACAGGTCCCCCTGTTATAATAACTGCTAATAAACTAATTTTAAAGCATTCATACATCTTTAATCAAGATAGTCTTATTGAAAAGTGGTAACTATGCAAATGCATCTAATATAGAACATTAAAACTACTATTTGTACAATTATTCAGAAAAGCTGTTGACTAGTTTTCATTTACCATAAAAACAACAAGACTAATCTGTACTTAAACATAGTACTTTACTGGTAGCCTGTTGCTAGCAGCTAGCAGCAGATTCTTCTTTGGTGGTAATTCAAAGCATAAGTGTTTTTGTTATATTCCAGCATCTCCTTACATAACTTGTGGAAATTGTTTCATTTATATAGTATTTCCATACTAATGAAGTAGTAGGGTTCACTACTGATCTGCCGCCACCATACTTCACTACTAAAATCTGTCCCTGAGGAGCCGACAGCTCCAACTAGACAACATATCAGTCATCCAATCCAGTGGTTTTTAACTTTTGCACAGTTTCAACTATTTTCTGCCACAACACACCTGATCCAGCTCATTAACAGCTTGACGATTACTTGACGAGCTGGATCAGGTGTGTTGGGGCAGGGAACAGTTGAAACTGGGTAGGGCAGTGGGTCCTCAGGACTGGAGTTGGAACTATTGGTCGAATCAATACAACCTCTTTCTTACCGCTGCAATAATCTCGGAAGATATATTACGGAACGCAGCAGACTGGGGATTCCTCATTTCCTCAACAAATGTGCGATTCACACGCAGATTACCTGGGAACACTTTTGCTGAAGTGCGACAGAGAGAGATAGACAGAAAGATAGAGAGAGAAAAGAGAGATAACAGTAAAGCAGCTGGGTTTTGCGGGTTTTTCATTACTGATTCTTGATGCATGAGCTCTTACCTTCCACACAGCGGCCCCCCGACAGGTAGGTCCCAGCCAGACACTGACAGGTGGAGTTTATGCATATACTGAGAGTTGGACAGGGAATTGCTGGACAGGTAGCTGAGAGAGAGAGAGAGAGAGAGAGAGCAGTCAAGTCAGTCACGCATTGTTATTTATCATGTTAATGTGGAACTACTAGGGGTGCTGAATATATCGGGCTATTGTGATGTTTCGATTTGACGGTGTCCATTCATCTGTGTCAACTTTGGATTGTTAAAATGGATTATTATTTGTAATACTATTCAATAAATAATGCATATATACATATATCTATTAATATATCTATACATATGTATAAATACATAACATTATTCCAATATGTTAAATGCAGCAAATAATGCAGCAATTGTTCACTTAGAAAATCGACAAAACATGGTTTACCAAATGAGGGACTGGCCAAAATACCTAAAATATCGCCCTAGATCACCACAACGTTTGTTTGGAGTTACTTAGATTTCCAGTATAAAAAGCTACATTCTGCTGTTTAGCTGACCCAAACCAGGCAGACTAGAAATGACCGCTAATTACAGCTAGTTAACATTATCTCAGTTACAAAACAAAAAACCTACAGCTGATCTATTCTAATACTGTGACCATTCAAACATAAATACATACTATACACATTTCAAAGCCAGGGACCATTTCACACACCTGGTGCGGTTGTTGTGTTAGTAGGGTTAGTAGTAGAGGTGAGTGTTGGTCCAGTCGTGGCGTTGTTCTCTGGAGTGGTGGTGTTCAAGGCGGGTTCTGTGGCATTGGCTGTTGGCTGATGAGTTGTAGCATTGCCTGGTTGTGTTGTACTGTTGGCTGGTAAGAGTGTAGTGCCTGCTGTGGTGTTCATTGGTGTTGTTCCGGCTGTAATAGTGATGTTGTTGGGTGGTGTTGTTACTGTTGTAACAGCCAGCGTTGTGGTTGCAGTTGGTGTGGTCACATTTAAGGGTGTTGTAGTGTTGCCTGGTGTGGTTGCAGCAGCAGTTGGTGTGGTCACATTTAAGGGTGCTGTAGTGTTGCCTGGTGTGGTTGCAGCAGCAGTTGGTGTGGTTGCATTTAAGGGTGCTGTAGTGTTGCCTGGTGTGGTTGCAGCAGCAGTTGGTGTGGTTGCATTTAAGGGTGTTGAAGTGTTGCCTGGTGTGGTTGCAGCAGCAGTTGGTGTGGTTGCATTTATGGGTGTTGTAGTGTTGCCTGGTGTGGTTGCAGCAGCAGTTGGTGTGGTTGCATTTATGGGTGTTGTAGTGTTGCCTGGTGTGGTTGCAGCAGCAGTTGGTGTGGTTGCATTTATGGGTGTTGAAGTGTTGCCTGGTGTGGTTGCAGCGGCAGTTGGTGTGGTTGCATTTATGGGTGCTGTAGTGTTGCCTGGTGTGGTTGCAGCAGCAGTTGGTGTGGTAGCATTTAAGGGTGTTGTAGTGTTGCCTGGTGTGGTTGCAGCAGCAGTTGGTGTGGTTGCATTTATGGGTGTTGTAGTGTTGCCTGGTGTGGTTGCAGCAGCAGTTGGTGTGGTTGCATTTATGGGTGTTGTAGTGTTGCCTGGTGTGGTTGCAGGAGGAGTTGGCGTGGTCGCATTTAAGAGTGCTGTAGTGTTGCCTGGTGTGGTTGCAGCAGCAGTTGGCGTGGTCGCATTTAAGAGTGCTGTAGTGTTGCCTGGTGTGGTTGCAGCAGCAGTTGGCGTGGTCGCATTTAAGAGTGCTGTAGTGTTGCCTGGTGTGGTTGCAGCAGCAGTTGGTGTGGTCACATTTAAGAGTGCTGTAGTGTTGCCTGGTGTGGTTGCAGCAGCAGTTGGTGTGGTCGCATTTAAGAGTGCTGTAGTGTTGCCTGGTGTGGTTGCAGCAGCAGTTGGTGTGGTCGCATTTAAGAGTGCTGTAGTGTTGCCTGGTGTGGTTGCAGCAGCAGTTGGTGTGGTCACATTTAAGAGTGCTGTAGTGTTGCCTGGTGTGGTTGCAGCAGCAGTTGGTGTGGTCGCATTTAAGAGTGCTGTAGTGTTGCCTGGTGTGGTTGCAACAGCAGTTGGTGTGGTCGCATTTAAGAGTGCTGTAGTGTTGCCTGGTGTGGTTGTAGGTAAGTCTGTTGTGGTATTGCCTGGTGTAGTTGTATTGCTTGGTGCTGTACTGGTTTCATTGATCTCTGTGGATAATAAAGTATGACACAAGAATCATAAATACAGCCCAAAGAAGGACATAATCAGCAAATGAATATATATATATATATATATATATATGCTGTATGTATGTATGTATGTCACTGTTGTCGGAAGAAAACCTTGTATCTTCATTTTTTACTTTTTCAGTTTTTGACATCATTTGAAAACGCCTGTTGTCCTTTACATTGTGTGTAAATTCCATGAAGAATGGACCAAAAGAAACGTAAAGCAAAGTAGGTTTTCCCCCTTCCTGTAAAGTTGCCATTTCGGAGATACAAGGTTTTATATATATATTATTCTGAGCAGTTTGACCTGAAATTGTTCACTGCAGAGAAAGTTTCTGACTATGGTTTCCTACATGTGATGATGATAATGGTAAACTAGTGGTAGTGGGGCCTTACAACGATCTGCATGTACATCCATAAATAGATTTTTTAAAAATATGTTTTGGGCCAAAGCCTTTTCCAAAACCTTGTAAAACATTGTCTCAGGCGGCGTATTCATAATAATTTAGTATAAGAATTTTGGTGCTGTGAACAATTCTGACTCATGCCTGAGACAGTGTTGCCCACTGTAAAGTCATATTATAACAGGTCACTGATTTCTTCATGAAAACACATATATAAATATACAGATATAGATATGATTTTTTTAATAATACCTATATATGTGTTTTCATAAACAAATTAGTGACCTGTTAAATTATGACTGTACGGTGGGCAAAATGTTAGAACATTTTCAAAAAATACTTATTACACACGTAGACAGCAAGAGATTATACACAAAAATCCAAATAGAACCTGATGTTTCTGACTATGCTAATGTCAGTTCTAACACTGGAGCATGTTTGTCACATTTCATGAATACTCATATACTCATAAATGTCACATTGCACTTCATGAATACTCCAGTGCCATAAAAATTGCTTTCATCAATGCCTACACCATGGGATATGAACACCTATCATAACTGCAACGGTCATGCGCAAGTCATAAATGAGCATGAGTGGCCATAAAAAAAAACAGGAAATTGCCTTAATGGTAGCATTTGACAGGGACGTTTCTGTAAGGGAGAATAAGATATGGAGCAGTGGATACAGAGCAGCTATAGGAAGGGTACTTATGAAAACTCTATATCTTAGAAAAGCAAATACTGCGCTTTGAAAAACAGAAACCAGTACAGAATATTCCTCCAGTACAGAATATTTCCAACAAAAACCCATAGATTTTTGTTGGAAATATTTTTTATTTATTTTATTATTGTGTAATGTGTGTCAAATGTATCTTCCCAAAAGGATTAGACCTGTTTACCAACCCTGTCAATGTAATAAAAGATTTACTTCTCTCAAATGTAGGTAATGGAGCGCTTATTTTAACCTGGCATTATAACAGAGAATTTCAGAGAATTCTAAAACATATTCAAGCCTACAAATACCTTAAGAAATGAACTTTTATATAATCTGGCCTTCAAAAGTCTAGGGACTCATTTTCCTCTTTTGAACATTTAATGAACATCGTCACGTTTTTCAGTTAGATAAGAAAAAATAGCTGCAAATGTTTTGCAAGCATAAAACAGCTGTTTGTGAACCCTTTAGTTATATTTAGCTTCAACGCTCAGCTTCTTTAAAGTGTGTACCATGTTATAAAAAGTTGGGGATAAATAATGATTTTCTTTCTTTTCTCTATTATTAAAAGCACGTTGAAACAAACACCTGAAAAGTTTGAGGGATGATGGGTACAGACTTCACAAGAAGCAGATAAGGTTTGTGAGAATTATTGTCAAATCCTGTCATAAATATATACGTGTGACAAACCTGTCAAATTTTAAGATAATAATTTGTCAAAAAATTTACATATTTTCTTTTTGACCCCATATGTAGTCGTTCAGCCAAGACATGTTTGGTATCTTAACTTTCTTTTTTCATTTTTAACTGGAGCTACAAGGCTAACATTGCTAACAAACACTAGAAGTTTAGACAAGTCAATTTAGACAGCAGCTGTATCGAAGTCCAGCACATGGTCATTACTGATTACATGCACAAGTTCTGTTGTTACGCTCTTATAAACAACTGTTAATCCTGAATTTCTGAACACTAAATATATAGAAATCCACAAAAATCCCAAACTTCATTTAACGTCCACATGTCCATGTGATGTGTGCATACGTAGGGGTGTTGGATTCTGTGGGGAGTCAGAATTTGGCACAATACCTGTTGTCTAAAATAGCTCCCCCCCAGGTCATCCCAGTCCTAAACCACACCAAGTCTGCAACAACCTTAATGAAGACCTGGACATGGTTGGAGTGGGTTGGGAGAAGTTCTAGGGGTGTATTTTATGGAAAAGATTTGGGTGTCTATTGATTCTAGTGTTTGTTAGTAACACAGCCTCATAGCTCAGCACTAAAGAAGTAAATGAAATGTCTTGGCTGACTGATTCGATCTGAGGTACATGAAAAAGAGTGTACATTATTCACCAAACCATTTCTTCAAACAAATTCCATAAGTCAAGTATTAACTCTGCATGCAAAAGCAGTTAGCAGTTAGTATAAAGCACTATACCTGCAGTTGACGCGGTGGAAGCAGGGGTGGAGATGATGGTGGTGTTGGTGTGGGTGGTGGTGTTAGCAGGGGTTGTAGGACTAGTAAAGGGTTCAACGGAGGTGTGCACAGGCATAGTAGTGTTGGTGGTAACGTTGCCAGAGCTAGTTGAAAGTCCAGGAGGTGCGGTGGTAGGGGAAGTACCATTCACAGGCTGTACTGTAAGGTTAGTAGCTGGAGCAGGGGTGGAGGTCAGTTCAGTAACATTACTGCTGGGTGAGATGGTGGTGGAACCGTTAAGGGAGATTGTGGTTAGGGTGGTAGGAGATGGTAAAGGTTCTGTTATCATACCGTTTGGCGCGGTTGTGGTTGAATGGTCTGGTCCTGTGGAAGGTGAGGGGGTCCTTGTTGCATTTGCAGGATCCGTAACCATGGTGGTATTCATGGAAGCTGTTGTGGTAGCAGCTGCTGTAGTGTTCGGACTTTCTGATGGAATCAGGGTTGAGGTTGTGCCATTACCTGGAGAGGTTGGATCAGGGTGGCCAGTAGTGATGGAAACTGTTACTGTAGCAACCGTACTTGTGCTATTTTCTGGGATTATTGAGGTTACTGTAGGACTAGAATGCGTTCCCGTCGAAACGTCAGGCGTGGAACTCATAGGGTCTGTTGTATGGGTCGTTGGATTTGGGGATTGTGTTATTGTTGAGTTTTCACTTAACACTGTTGTTGGGCTGTATGGTCCTGTGACCTCACTTTTAAGTGTGGTGGGTGCTGCTGAGGAGGTGTTGGTTGCTTCTGTGTGGGTGGAGACCATGGTCTGGGGTGAAGTGGGGGAGGTAGGATCTGATGGGGAGGCACTGGTAATGGAGGTATAGGTGGTGGAGAGTGTTGTAGGAGAGTCTATTGTTGTGAGTGGGGTAACACTGGAATCCACTGCCATGACCGCTGTAAACACACGTAGAAAATGAAGTAAACAAGAAATACTACATAATCAGCAGATACACATAATACATGCTCATACATTGGCAATATGAGGTTTTGTCACGACAGCAAAGATATAACGGTCAATTTTGATGACGCATAATTTTATCTGTATCAGCCAAAATATTGCAGATTATATGTAGATAATCACTGACTTTTTATAGGTTTTAGTGACGTCTGATTTGGCAAAATTCATTTTTTTTTGCTAAAACACATTTGTGGGCAAAGCACGGATAGACCAACTGCAGAGTTACAGTGGTAACAGAAATGATTATGTAAATTAATAATATGGGGCTACACGTTTTATAGATTCACAAGACGATGACTATAGAAGAATTAAAGAACATTACATGTTTAGAAATGTGTGTCTGAATATTCACAAATACTATAACAATAAAACTTGAGGTAATCAGTATTGAAAAAAGTTATAACACTGTTTTCTGTAAGCAGCAGACCTGAGCTTGTTCCTGTTACTGCTACTTAACACTGCTATTACCACCAGCACCAGTAATCGTAACAATGGGCTGAGAATGAAGGGCCAAAAGTTTTCTGTGTTTTTCCAACTGCTTCTTGTTTGTATGCAGGCAGTGTATGGATAATCTCACACGCCGATTGAGCCTAATAGGCCGAGAGAGAGCGTGAGCATGCCAGGCCATCATTGTTCTAAGAATTTGTTCTCAGCTGGCAAGCCTGATCGCATAAAGGTTAAATAAAGAAGCAAAACAAAAAGGCAGTGGATGTATAAAAGGCCTTTTTACAGTCTCTCTCTATCTCTCTCTCACTCTCTCTCTCTACCAGGCACACATTAGATCCTGGGAGCTGACGGTTAATTTGATTATTTTCCAGGAACACGCCGTGATACAGTGTGTCAAGGTTTATTGCCTAGTAACCAAAACGCAATGACAGATTAAAAGGGGAAAAAAATGAGTTCGGGAACACACCCACCTGTCAAAACTGCTTTTTATTGCCATTTGTTTCTCATATAGAGAACCCACACCCGCAGCAAAATAAACACAGATACTCAGGAGTTAATCATCACCCAAATAAACACTTTCCTCAGACGCACAGCAGTGTATCTACATAAGCATTCACAGGTGCACACATGCACAAAATTCCTAATCAGCAGACTTACATGTAGGTTATCTCCATATGAATGAATTAAAAATGAATTAATATCAGAGATAGACTTAGGTATTAACTGCAGGTAAAGAAAGGCTTGCAGTTGCGTAATACTGAAGAACAATACACTCTGCAAAAACACACACACACACACACACACACAACAGGCTAGTCTAGGGGATCCCAAACTTTTATGAGCCAGGACCCACATGTAGAGGTGTTGTTTGTCCTGCGACCCGTCAAATATACTGTGAAGTGATGGCAAAAATGCCAAATGCCGAAAGTTTTCAGTCCACTTTTACTCAACATTCTGTTCTATCAATCTACAAACGCAATTAGATTTATTTATAATGATATCATTATATACAAGGGTATAGTGCTGCACACTGATCTGTAGAAAGTATATAGATAACTGGTTTGGCTGTGAGTGGTATGACTCGTGTGTGGCTGTGGTTAGCCATAGAGCTAACAACGCATTTATCAAGCTGGCTAAGTCGCTTTCCATAAATAGAAAAACACAAAAGTGAACACAGTCATGTATGATAACTACATACTCAATGCTGCCCACTGATCTGTACCAAAAAAAGTGTAACCCGTGTGGTTGCCAAGAAACTAACGCTGCAGTTAGCAAGCTGGCTAACGTACCTAAAAGAAACAGTGAAGTAAATCTAATACAGTCTCCTGACTGACTGTGTATCACACAATCTCTCTTTCATGTGTTTATATATAGCCAGTGGGGAAAAAACAGTAAAAGGTTTGTCTTTATGCACAGGTTAAATTAGCAGTTCCCCCATTTTGGAGGTTCAGAGCTGCTATGTGAATGGCCTTCCCTTCAGAGGTCAACACAGCCAAAGCAGCAGCGCTACTGTTAGTGGAAGCAAATCTGAGTGTCAAAGTTAAACTCGTTACAAAATTTCACACTGAATTTATTCGACCCGGACATTTGCGGCGCATTGAGCGAATTCCATTGAAATGAATGAAATTTCACTTGCTCGGAGAAGAAAGTGTGTCTGGGCCTTTAGCTGTCTGTATCTTGAGCAACTGTCCAAACACATACTTGTGCTTGAAAAAGGACACTAAGTGAGGCAGGGGTGGGGAACTGAGGGCCTTAATCCAACAAAGATTTGTAAAGGATAAAATGAATCAGGTGAGCAGGAAAATCATCATACTGTCTGGGACTTTGGTCCTCCAGGAAAAGAGCTCCACACCACTGAATTCAACAGATAAGTGTCTTGCACTTCCTGCACTTCCACATCTTACAGATCTGAATGCACAGCCAAAAGACGAGACAGAAGAAGTCATCATCAGCTTTTCTGCCTTTTCAGACACTAGGCATATATATCGCTGCTGTCGGATCAAAACCTCTTAACTCCAAAATAGTAACTTTACAGGAGAAACAAAAAACATACTTTACTGTTAATGTAAGTCAGTGGAACCAGACTTTTTCCATGTAATTCTGAGCCACTCGATCCATTCATCAGGAAATGTAAACACAATGTAAAGGGCAACAATCACTACCAAAATATGTCAAAAACTGAAAAATGACAAAAACAGAGATACAAGGTTTTGTTCCGACAGCAGCGATATACATGTATATATACATATCTATGTGTATGTGTGTGTGTATATATATATATATATATATATATATATATATATATATATTATATATATATATATATATATATATATATATATATATATATATATAAAATTTAATGTGTTTCCCTGCTCTTGTCATCACTCTGGATGTTTGCTATTAACTCCTTACTCTCAAATTAAGGGTTCAGGACATCATTTTCCTCGGGCAGTACAATATGGCTCTAATGCTTCATGCACTCTCAGGCCGTTGCCACTGTAAATAAGCAGGCAAATTCCCCTCTGCTTTTATGAACATATGCTGTTACTGTCAACAAGACTGATGCAGGTAGAGGTGGAACAGACACTGAACCACTCACTCCACTCAAGTTGGGGAGAGTTAGGATCTACTGGTAAGAATAAGTAAGAATGAATAGAATAATACAGCCCAGCTTAAGTCATATAAAAGAGACACTGTTTGAAGGTATTAGGGGAACTGTGTGTTTGTGCATGTTTGAAGGGGAACATAATGAGATCTCATGAGATCTTAGGGAGCAGCTGATAGATTTGATATGTTAAGTTGTTGAGGCTTTTGTGTAATTTTCTGTTAAATATACGTTTCCTTTTTTTCTGACACTGAAAAACAATGTTAAGAATAAAAAGGTTATGGTTAAAAAACACAACTTTGACCTCCATATGAAGATGTATATCCAGGATCATTGTGTTCATTAATGAAAACAACACTTGCTAATCAATAATCAGCTTCTTGGTGGTCAGTGCAAGCTATACAGCTTAAGTGGCAGTTACCCCACTGCAGGCTAATCCTGGTCACTTCAGGGTGAAGGCCACGTCAGCGTGTATGACCCTTTGTCCGACTGGGGCTGTTCTGGGTCAAAGTGCACCTCCCTCCCTATGTTTTCCCCACAGTTCCTCTGCTACTTGACCTCATATGTTGTGTGTTTACTGCATGTTGCTCATGTAAGTGACCATTCACAGTGAGCTATCACTCTGATGAATTATGTAACATAGAATTGTTCACTAGCACTGTTAACAGAAAAGCTGGACCAAACATGTTAACACGGCTTTTGATGAATGCAAGACTGGCATAATGCTAATTGGTGGCTATAAGATTTAATTCACTGTTAGCAGCATTAGCATTTTGGACTGATTCTGTAGTCATGTCATATTTTACAGGAGTTAACACTGGCTTGCTAGGGAATCTGTACTGGGAGTGGCCATATAGGACCACATATCTCAGCAACCAGCCAAATTCACCTTTAAGCCAACAGCAAGGCCTTTCTGAAAGTATCTACTCGGCTACAGAGCTTTTAACATGAGTTAGCAGCTGAACAAATGTTGATTCTTTCCCATCATGATTTCTTTTGCAGATAAAAGCTTTCTCTCCTTCCTGGAGCAAGATAGTCAACATTAAGCCAATCAATTTCTGTGCATGACGCCAGGAAACATCGCTAGTATGTTTGCTATTCGTTTATGCCAACATAAGGGTAAAAAGTATATGAAGCAACATCAGATCTGTTGTGGAAAGCAGGGCTGCATGTTGTAGACAAAACACCCTGTGATGTGTCCTAAAACACCTTTAATGATAGTAAAATAATATTAATATAAAAATAAAAATAATATTCTTTATATATATCACCCATGTCATTCCAGTGGCTGCTCAAAGTGCTTCCCAGACAGATGATAAAGCTTAGCAGGAATAGAAGAAATTATGAGTATTAATTTAAAATCATTTAAGACAATATAATGACAATCAACCTCTTATACCTTTACAACATCCACAGAAACTCTTCTGGAACATCTAGCACAACTCGGGACACTCATATCACATGAATATGTTTGTGGTGATTTATTATTTTTAAATAAAATAGTCGAGGTAATACATAAACCTAATTAGAATTTCATAATACAGTGTTCATATTCAATACACACGTGGAAGCTATGCTTCAAAAACAGCCCATTTTAAATTCAAAAATGAAGATTAACAGAGATTATGGCCTCAAGTCAGCCACTCGGACTTGCCCTTAACTTAACTTAAGTCTTGTGAAATTTCAGCCTGAGAAATAAACACAAACAAAGCTGATTATCAGGACTGCCAGCCTTAAAGCAGTAAATGAATAAAGGCTTTCATTTCCAACTGTAGGTGTGTGACTTTGCCTGTCAGTTTCGCTAGTCACACTTAGCCATCACTGCAGTACTGTTCTCCCACAGCTCCAGCAGCAGGTTCAACACACGTCTAAATAACAGAT